CACTCAGGGTCCCTGAGCAAAAACCCTTAACCCCCCTCTGCTCTCTGGGCGCCGCACAATGGCAGCCCACTGCTTCCCTAAATGGGGGTTAAATGCAGAGTGAATTTTGTTGCTCTGTACTTGTGACAGTGTAATGACAATAAAGTTGAATTCTATTCAAAATTCTCTATTTTCTATAAAAATAAATACATGATAAAAATGAACGGACTGTATATAAAAGATTGTAATTGATTTTAAAGGCTGTAATAAAATATATGATTTATAGATAATGATAAATTAATGGTAAGTTAAGATAAGATTATTTCTTAAATAAGTAAAATTATTTAAATAAATTACATTAAAAGTAATAATAAATTGTTATACATAAATTGTAATAAATAAATGTCAAAAATCTAAATTAAATGAACAAGAGATGAAGGATGCATTTTATCAATCAATAAATTAGAAAAAAATAATAAATAGGATGATGAATGATAAAACAAATTATGATAAATAAATGATGTACGATAAAAAAAAACAAAAAAACAAGATACATAGTGCAATGATGATAGGATTATGAAAAATAAATAATGATCAATTATTAATAAAAACACGTTACAATAAACCATTATGATGCATAATTATTGATAAATGTCTTTAAATAAGGTACATAAATAAATGATGATAAATAGAACAGGTTGAGCTTTCTGGAATTTTCATTTGGTTAACCCTTTAGAGGGTTTAATCATCTAAAGCACTTTGTATTGTCTTTGTAATGAATTGTGCTATATAAATAAATTTGCCTTGCCTTGCCTTGCCTTATTTAAAGAAAAGTTAAAGAAATGTTTTTCCAGTTTGTCAGATGAGTATAACTATAGTCAATACCTGTTTATCCATTCAGTTTATCCCTTTAGTTTTATACGAAAAACAGACTTGAAACTATCTTAACGAGCGTGTATCCCTTAAGTCATGTGCCAAAAAAATAATTTAATTACTTGTTTTTTTGGTGTTTTTTTAAGCATATGTCGACCTCATCTTAAGTTGTTTTTTTGTACATGGCCGTTGAGGTAGTTTAAAGTGTATTTTTCATGCAAAACTAAAAGGATAAAAGCAAATCTGACGTCACCGTCTCAGAGGAAGGTGTGAATTCTGCATCCCTTCATCATCTCCTCCTCCTGGTCTGATTCTACATTTAGTTATAAACCTTAAAAAACAGGAAATTAAATATTCAAAAATTAGAGAATCCTTCTTTTCTCTCCTCCTCTCCCTCTTCCTCCCCCATCAGCTCGTTCTAACCCAGCAGCTCCGCTCTGACCTCTGACCCCACCTCCCCCCCTCAGGGTCAAAGTCACCTCCTGGCCCCTCCCCCTTGCAGACACCCCACCCATATGGCCCGTAGGGTTCTGATTCAGTGTGGAGTGAGACTTCAGTCTGTGCAGCATCTGTGGAGTTTCTGCCGCTCCGAGGCTCCGAAGGTGGAGCAGAAAGACGGAAAAGTCAAAGAGAAGGTGAAGCAGAAGTGAAGGAAACTCTGGGAGCGACAGAGGCAGCCTGATTGGGACTCTGGATGTTCTGGATCTTTGGGATTAAATCTGGACCCTGATGGAGATGCTGATGCTGCTGATGCTGCTGCTGCAGGGACTCTGCTGCTCAGGTCAGACTCTAAGTTATTCTGCTGATGAACATGAAGCAATCCGACACCAGCAGGTTTAATTCTGGACGTTTAAAGGACCTGACAGTTAAACGCACTGCAAAAAATGAAAGATACTTGCACTGGAAAAAATCAAAACCTAGATAAGTCACTTTTTCTTAAAATAAGTGCATTTGTTTTTGGATTGAGGAGGTAAAAGATACACTTTGCCAATAGAAAAAGACAATTTACACTTAAAATAAGAAAACACAATTGCATTGTCTTATTTCAAGTGCATATTATCTAATTATCTTATTTTAAGAGTAAAAATATTAATTCCATTCATTTACCTGCTCAAATTAAGGGTAAATACACTTAATTTAAGAAGTTTTTACTTATTTCTAGATCGTTTTTCCAGTGTGTTCAATCTTTTTGAAATAAGTATTTCCTAAAGGTTTAGACAGTTGATAGATTATGTTTAAAGTAAAAAAAAAAATCAGATTTAACTGCATTATATCAAATAATTTTATTTCAAGGTTAGAACTACTCATTCCATTTGGGAATTTTTGTTATTGACCTTAAATTAAGGCCAAGTAAACTCATTTTAAGACATTTTTGTTCTTTTTAAATCAATTTTCGCAGTTTGGGGTTCTAACAGCGAAAATATGGAACATCAGGTTCTGATTCCTTTTTTATTTCCTCATCTGGTTTAGATCTTCCCTCCATTATCTTTTACATCCATCTTCATCATTTGCAGTCATATTCAGTAACTCAGAATGTTATAGAAAAGTGATTTAAATCCATCATTCAACTGGAAATTATTTGGTTCTTTACAAGATAAAATTAAAAACTTATACTGAGAATAGTCAAATAAATTACTTTGTTAAAAGTATAATATCGAATATAAATGTGAAACCTGCTCGTTTCTAGATTTAAACATCTTAAAGCAAGAAATCTTGTTAAGTAATATTATCTTGCTGCAGTACACTGCAAAAACGATCTAAAAATAAGTAAAAATTTCTTGAATTAAGTGTATTAACCCTTAATTTGAGCAGGTTAATGAGATAGTTTGCCAATGGAATGACTATTTTTACTCTTAAAATAAGATAATTAGATAATATGCACTTGAAATAAGACAATGCAATTGTGTTTTCATATTTTAAGTGTTAATTGTCTTGTTCAGTTGGCAAAATGTCTCTTTTACCTCCTCAATTCAAGAACAGATGCACTTATTTTAAGAAAAAATGACTTATCTAGATTTAGATTTTTTGCAGTGTAGAAATCAGTTTAGTGGGGTTTCCTTGTAATTTTGTTTCTATTATTGATTTTAGATGCTCTATGAAGCAGGCCGTTAATTCATTATTTAGATTATTATTCCTGATGGATGTTTTTTTTTTCTGTATGTGGTTTTTGTAGTTTGTTTTTTAATTAAGATATTACATGCCAATGACTAAAAGAAGAAATAAAACAAATATGGATTGAATGAAACCATGTTTAAAATCTGCTTAAAGGTTCATATTTACTGAAACATTCGGCTTTTCTAACAAATGGGGTTTTATCAGAACCAGAATGTCTTTATTTACCTTTTTTGGTTTGAATTTTCATCATTTCATTTAATTATAATGTGGACACTGCAAAAAATCTAAATCTAGATAAGTCATTTTTTTCTTAAAATAAATGCATTTGTTGTTGAATTAAGGAGGTAAAAGAGACATTCTGCCAATGAAATAAGAAAATTTACACTTAAAATAAGAAAACCCCCATGGCATTGTCTTATTTCAAGTGCATATTATCTAATTATCTTATTTTAAGAGTAAAAAAACTAATTCCATTGGCAAACTGTCTCATTTACCGACTCAAATTAAAGGTAAATTCACTTAA